CCCAGTGTTTCAAAGCTGTCTTTCATCATTGGCATGTGATGCATGATTTCCAAGGCATTTCTCAAACAGCTGAGCCGTACACTGTGTTCTCAACTCCTGTAGTTTCAGCAGTAAATATTAACCCAGGAGCTTGAAGCTACTGCTTTAGCATTACATTAGTTGGTTTGTTTTCCTACTGCCTATTACTGACCTTTCTGTCCACTCAGCTTTAAGAAAGTGAAGCATCCCAAAGACAAACCCAGCCGCCATCTGGAGTGAAAGGGCCTGTTATTCCAGGGTGCTGCAGGCCATGTGTGTCTGCCCTAGAGGAGGAAACGGCACATGCCACAGGGCCAGCCCTGTGGTGGGAGCTGGGAAACTCCAGTCCAGCTGGCAGCTTCCCTTGTCTTTGGCCTGGCACAGAGCAAGCGCAGCCTCATCGCAGGTTGCGGTGGGCAAGCCTGCATCCCTGGCCAAGGAGGGTGGTGGCTGCAGGCTGCCGTGCGGGCACTGGGGGTGTCCCACAGCGATGGGCAAGCGGTCCTTGTGCCTGAAAGCCAGCCTGGGGAAGGCGCGGGGCCAGCGTGCAACTGGGCAGCAGTGCCCTGCGGTTTTCCTCTGTGTTATGGGTGCAGCCTCTCTTACTCCAGCCTGTGCCGTTCGCTGTGAAGGGATTACAACAAGGGCCCTCTTGTAACTAATTCGACTGTTGTTTCCGTACCATAAACTCATTTAATCCTTTTCTTTTTCCATTTTAAAGTACCTTAGGAGAAAATAAAAAAAGAAAAACCACAGCACCAACATCTGAGCAAGAAACACTGCTGCTGTAGTGGCAGTTGTTCAAGTCAATAAATTGATGATGTTTCTAAGAAATGCCTGGTGCTTTGTGGCACGTCGCTGACATGATGAGGGCTGTGTTGGAGGTGACAGAGAGAGCCAGGACTGGTCTGTGGGGGTCCCAGCAGGATGGGTGGCAGCAGAAGAGGGAAAGCATCTCCGGGAATTGGTTGTGTGAAGCATTGCCAAGCAGTGGCTTTGGATCTGGCTTTAAGGGCTTGTCTGCTCCCCAGGGAGCAGGTGGGCAGGAAGCGATGGGGGAACATGAGGCTTTTGTTATACCCATTGGCTTCAGACGGGAGGCATGGGGAAGCAGAGAAACATTTTGGCCTGGATTCAGAGAGTGAGGAGGGGCTTCTCCATGGTGGAAAGGGCAACACCCCTACCCTGCAGCTACCTCCAGCATTGCGTCTTTTCAGGTCTGTTTCCCATAGGCATTACCAAGGGCTGCTCCCCACCATGCATGACCATACCCGGGCTGGCACAGCATGGCTCACACTCACCAGGAGCTGCAAACCTAGTTAAACTGAGAAAAATAACCCAGGGAAGGCCAGTGCTGGCCACAGCAACAGCACTGGCTGGCCTAGCTAAAGGCTGCACGTACCCTGCGCCCGGCCAAGACAGGGACAGCCCCGAGGACAGCACGCTGCTGAGCTCAGCCCTCGCATCCACCAGACCAGATGAGGCCCCACCATCAGAGCTACCACAGAAGGATATTCAGTACCCAGAGCCCTAAGTGCCAAACAGAAAAGCAACACTAAATGGCTGCAGATGGTGGCCAACAATCAACAGCTGACACTTCAGGCATTGCTAAAAGCCCCTGACCCAGTGCTGGGTCCCTGACCCCTTGATTTTGGGGTCTGGAGAGCAGCTAATGTGTACCCACAGCGAGGTCAGCTGCAGGAAGGGTTTGAGGGAGCTGTTCCCGAGCCCTTTCACTAAAGGCCATGCTGGACTTTGCTATGTTTAAACCTCATTTCTCCAAGTATAGCCACTTGAATTTTTTAAGCTTTAGCTCAGCAGCTGGGGAGGGTGTGTGGCTGCGGGAAGGGAGGTCTGGGGAGCTCCATGCATTCTTCCTTCCTAACCGGTTGCCACAAATAGCTCACAGCCAGCCCAGGGCTATTTCTGACTGTGATGGGGAGAAGACTCTTCAAGGCTGGAGCAATGGAAAGTATTTGACCCTCACTTGATGGTGGGAAAGCAGCAGGCAGAGCCTGACAGACACACAGGCACTGCTCGCTGCCCGGCCTTGCACCACTCTGCCCATCCTGCACCGGCTGTGTGCTGGCGTTGCAGTAAGAACCCACCGAGCAAGAGCCAGGGTGAAGCTTCTTGCCTTGGCTGGCACAGGGGACATGGCAGCAGCCCAGTGTTCCAGCCCACACCTCTGGCCGCAGCTGCCCGCACCTCTGGCCTGCGCCAGCTGCCGCTCCAGTACCTGTGTCTCCGACCGGCTCGGCGAAGCCCCCCAGGAAAAGCCAGCGTGAGCCGCAGCTGGTGCGAGGCTCCTGCCGCTCTCCCCGCAGCCTGTTCCCCCCCCAAGGGACGAGCACGCTGTTACCCACCGGCGGCTTCTCCTGCGGCAAAAGCGCTCGCTGACCTGATTGCTCCCACTTTCTCCAACACCACCCACCCACCCTCAGTGCTCTGCAGAGACGGAGGGGGCTCACAGTGGCTGCACTAAGCAATCTCTACCAAGGACAGGAGCCCAAGGCTCACTCTGCCCTTAGCTGCAGCCATTTTGTGTTGGGCACTGCCAGCAAGTACTTCTATATAGGTCAAAGTAACTAGAGATGCTCCCAGCTCCTCTTCCTTCACACCATCTCCTCTCTCAGCAGGGAGAGGGCCCGCTGCAGCTGAAGCACAAACCCAGTGTCAGGGTACACCTCACCACGGTGGAGGATGCAAAGCCCTGTGCCGGTCCCTGAGCAGCAGCTATTGCCACCGCGGTGCCTGAAGCCCCGGCCACCCGCGGCACACATCGGCAAGGCAATTTTGTAGGTGCAGAGCCACCAGCCCACCCTGGCCCTGCACGAGGGTGCTCACCTCCAGCAGAACAGCCCGGGGGCCCGCTGGGCTGCAGAGCGTGCGGCGGGAGCGCAGGGCTGGCACGCAGGGATGGCGGGGGCACAGGCAGAGCGACCCAGCAGCGGGCTGGGGGCGGGTGGTTTACCGGGACTTAACAACCTGTAGGTACAAAAGGTGACCTTGAGCACGATTCACAGGGTATGTGAGAACCGGCCTTCGGCGCTGGGGGTCCCGTCCCCGCTGTTGCAGTGGTGTGGGGCCCGGCCACGCAGGGAGGGCAGAGCGCAGCCTGGGTGCTGCTGGAGCTTCGAGGATGCAGAGCTCCGGGTGCAGCTGCCTTCGCTTCGGGCACTGCTCCTGCCCTGCTCCCACAGCGCAGCCAGCACCCATCCCACCACCCTGCAGGGACCTGGCCTCTCGCACCCTCCCTTCCAGGAGCCCCAGGCCCACCTGCCCTGCTCCTCCTCCCCGTTGCTCTTCACCGTCAGAGCCAGCCCCGAAGTCTGCCTTCACATTAGTTCTACTTACATCCTGCTTGCAGCAGCCCACCATCCTCCACCCGCTGCCAGGGACAGGCACGCGCAGGGCAGCAGAAGTCCTCACGGGACCCGCCGCTCCCCCCCCCATCCTGCCGATACGACGCTGGGGAGCGAGGTCCGGGGGGATGGGGCCACCCTGCAGGACAGGAACAGGGACAGAGGCTGCACTAGGTGCAGCAAACCCCACCGCGAGGCTTGAGCAGATGCTGCCCAACTCGCTGCCCCAGGGCGCAGCTCAAGAGCTGAGCAAGGAAGAAAGCCCAGTGCAGGGAGAGCAGCCGGGTGAAACGGCTGCGAGGAGGACGGGGTTGAGGGATGGCAGAAGCACGAAATGGGCGCAGGGCACGGCTGTATCTGGCACGCAGGCAGGGGTTGGCCATTCCCCCGCCAGTGCGGAGCTGGAAGCGACACTGGGCAGGGGACTAAGCACAGGCTCGCTCTCCTGCGCAGAAATACGTCTCTGCTGCTGCAGGCTCCGCGCAACTCTGCTGCTAAAGCCCTGACACCAGGGCGGCACCTAATGCAGGGGGACAGACAGACTCACTCCACCAGCGACTCCCGTCCAATGGAGCTGCTGTCACCACCAGCCACGTCCCGCGCTGGCGACCCCCGGCCACGCATCGCCTTCCAGGAACGCGCCACGGATGGACCGACAGACAGCATCTATGCTTCCGGACAAACAAACATGATATATGGAGGACAGGTTGTAAATAAGGGGTTTTTATTAGTGGAAGAAAAAGGCCCTCACCCTTGAGGGAACTTCAGAAAGTCAGCTGCTTGCCATTGCCACCAGCTTCCCAGCTCCTGGTCAGCAAAACCACAGGCACAGACCTCCCCGGCTCGAGGACTTACGGGCCCAGACCCACCACAGTGAAGAGCAAGACCTGGCTCTAAGGGGAACAGGATCCAGCCTCTCCATGGCTCTCGACAGCTGAAGTGGAGATTAAAGACCGCTGATGTGCCAATAGCAGAGATCTGGGTCCGGGATCACCAACATCAGCCCCACCACCCGCATGTCAAAATCCATCCCTTGGAAATGAAGGAGGAGCATGGAGGAGGGAAAAATGCATAAACTGGAATGTTCAACAGAAAAAAAATCATCATTTATCTAAAAAGAATAGAAATAAACAAAATGCTCTTAAACAAAATCACAAAATATACAAATAAATCTGGTACAAAATAAATAGGAAAGATTGGAAATCTACAACAAAATTGGAATAATTATAAAATTCATTTGTATGACAATCAGTATATGAAACGTATACACTTCATTCAGGATTTCAGTTGTGCTTAATTCAGGTTTATATACACACATGGAAATACTGTAGTCAGAACACTACAACTCTGGAAACCTGAAGTCATGTACAATATGATACAATTCGCAAAGACCATGTATGGTGGCAAATAAGACACAGGGAAGAGCCGGCTGGAGTGGCTGAGCGGGTTCAGATAGCCATGGAAACGCAGTGCGGAGGGAGAGCCGCCACGCTTCTGAGCGGGGGGAGTCCAGGCCGAGCCAGCAGCGGCCGGGAGGAGGCTCAGGGCAGCCAGGAAGGACCCGACTGCAGGAGAGAGGTTTGGTGTGAGACCTCCGGCTGCTGAGCACCGCTCACGGCTTCCAGGAACCCTCCTCAAGTATTTGGCTTTTCAGATTCAATGAGTTTGGCATCCAGGCACCTGCCCTGTGATTCAGGTGTCGAGGTTGGCGCTGCAGCTATGTGTGCTGGAGAAAGCACACGCCAAGAGCTCTGAGGTACCTCAGCAGGGCCTCACCTGAACCGCTCAAAGCCACCCTTGTGCTCGTGAGAACATGGATCAAACGGGACCGGAGCACTGGTGCTGGGGTCCTGGTGGATTTCCACTCTCCAAATTTCACGTGGTCTGTGAGGAAGGCAGAGTCCCTTGAGCAGCACCTCCCACCCTTAGTGCGAGGAATGAAGACAGGACGGCCACAGCATTGCCCGCTCCTGACTGCTGCACCTCCTTCTCTCGCCTTCCTGAACACTCAACCAAACCACAGCGAGAGGAGCAGAGGAACAGCCACTGCCGATGCGAGAGCAGCAGCCGCAGCAAGCCACATCATTGCTGAATTCAAGCCAGCACGATGCAGAAGGACAGAGTGCGTACCCTGGGTAAAAACCCGCCGGCCAAACCAGCCCAGCCCAGCCTGCCGGGACCTGAGACTTTAAAGCAGGGATGATGCTAGAGCTGATCTAGGCTCGGCCAGTCTGTCACTTCTGAGAACAGAGGAGCTCACTGGGAGACCCCTCCACCCTCCCGCGTTGACCTTTGGGCGAATCCAGAAGGCATGCATTCAGTATTGGCACTTCCACCTAAAGGCCTATGATCCAGGCTACTCATCTGACACAAGTTTCTCACTTCAATTTGGAAGGATTTGGTACAAAAGTGATGCCCAGAGGATAAAAACACACCTCCTTTTATAAAGCTTTGCGGTCTCCAAACAGCTGAAATAGGATGCTAGACTGCTCTGCCAAGCACTAAATACTGGGACAAGCCCTTCCTCCCCAACAAACCCTGCTATCAACTGACTGCCGCACCGCTTCCAGGAGGAGAAGACAACAGAAACATCAAATCCACCTTTGGAGCATCGGAGCCACCTGCAGCCTTTGCACGTTTCAGGCACTTGTTTGGCTCACAACAGCTGGCAAACCTTGAGCCCAGCTCTGTGACAGGCAGCTTCTGTCAAGAACAGCCAAACCTCTCCTATTGGGGGGAGGATTAAACATCAAGCACTTCATTAGCCAGAAATCCACGCTGGAGGGGTGAGAACAGCCAGGGCACTGTCCTCTGCAGGATCCCAGTGATCAGCCTCGCTCAGAGGAAAACAGGGCCCAAAGGAGAAACCTCAGGAGAGAGCAGAAAGATGTTTTTCAGCTGGAGACAAAAGACCAGCAGCTTTGAGTACCGTATTTCTAAGGTGCAGAACCACTACAGAGCCTGACCTCAGGATAACAAGAACAACAAGATGTCACTCTGATGGAGTTCAGCACTACCGATTTGTGAAATGCCTCCCTCCAGCACCTGTACCGTGCCACAGGCTGGAGGCAGCTTTCCGGCACCCCCTTCCCATCCCTGCAGCTCAGGGAAGGGCCCTGGGATAACCTGGCATCCCAGGGTTTCTCCTAGGGAATGCTCTGGCCTCCCCAGGCTCAGCATCCGGCTTTTAAACAGAAACACAAATACGCACAATCAGACCCAAAAGCTCAACTGTACCGCCTTGGACCTGCAGCAACAGCATCCCCTTGCCTGGACACGGCCTCAAGGATGCAGCCATGAAACTAACCACAGAGGAAAACAACCCAGCATGAAGCCAGGCTCCAGGACAAGAGCAAGACACCGAGCGGGATTGTCTGGGGGGCTCTGCGGGAAGCCATGGATGTCTCCAAGTCCCCTGTGTTGCTGACGCATGGGAGTGAGGCCAGTATCACCACAGAGATCACACCGACAAGAGACCTGCAACTGATGGAGCAAGTATAACAACAGAGCAGGGATGAGGGTGGCTTCCCAGCCCAGCTTGTAGTGTAGAACTTGTCCTCTCTGCTGGTCAAGTCAGGATGAAGGCTGCTCTCTCCTCTGCCATGAAAAGATGCCCAGCTTTCAGTCATGTTAGTTAAGCTCATCATTTCACTGTTGGGCCAAACCAACCCTCAGTATCCAAGGACCAAGTACTTCTTTGGGTCTATTTAGAGCCCCAGTGTAGAGCCAGGCAGCGGGGCGGGCAGCAAGCCTGGGTCTGTATCACACCGAGCCTTTCAGCACATGCTGGTTTTCTGCTTTGTGCCAACTTTGCACATGACAGTGCACAGTATGAACGCAGGAATCCCTCAATGCTGGTCAGACACCTTTGGGATGCAGCATCAAGGTAGCATCATAAGAGGTACTCTCTGTAGCATCCTTCCCCACCCCCCAGCCCCAGTTTACTACTGGTAATCCAGACACTGGATAACTTGACAACTGGTACACAGGTACTAGTTTTAAAACCACAGACGTGTGTATTAGATGATAGCATATAAAATATGGTACATCTTTCGTGTGGGAATGATTTCTATAGATAGTGTATTTCAGCACAAGGAAGATGTATGTTCCAAGGGGTCCTGGAGAACGCGGCTGTGTTCTCCATCACACAGGATGCTTACACAGGGATGCTCGTGAGGAGACAGTGCTGCTCTTTGCCATCCACACCCCCACGCCCCTCGGCTGAGCTCTGCAGAGATCACAGGAAGCACCACTGCTGCCCAAGCAGCCCCTCGCACAAAGCAACCTCTTTGGTTTTCTTTGAGCTGATTTGAGCCAGAGCCTGACACCACCAGTGCCAAAATCTCATCCTCATCTGAGCTGGGCCCTAAAGACTGAGAAGCAGCAATAGGTGATGTCAGTGGGCCATCACAGGCAACTCGCCCTGGTCCCCCTGAGCTTTCTCTCGGTCTGAGGTGAGTGCAAAGGGCCATATCCTGAGACTCCTACTCTTGCCAGCTCCACCCGCACAAAAAGGCACTTAAAGAAAAGAAGAACAAAAACCAAAAAAAAAAACCCTGTGGTGAGGAAGAGGGGAGTAAGTCCAGGAGAAGAGAGGAGGAACAGAACAGCGAGCACAATGTGAATGAGTGGCTGACCCCTCTTCCAACGAGGCCCAAGAACTGCAAGCCTTGAGCAGTCAACTCCAGCTCCAGCTGCCCCGCACAGGTCTCGGCATCATCCCATCCCTGCTCAGTCTGGAGCAGGAGCACGTGTGGGGGCAAAAAGAGCATAAGAGGGAGCGACACATGACTACAGGTTCGGAGCAGAAGTGGAGAGCAGTGGAAGGACCTGCCTCGTGGAGCTCACTCTGCAGGTGCAACTGGATGGGGGAAGCACCTCGTCCTGCCACGCCAGCCTCGGGGCCCCTGCTGCCCGGCCAGCCTGGACACCCTGCCAGCATCCCTCAGCCCTCTGCGGGATACCCCGTCCTGAGCTCCTCTGGGGCAGCCGCCATCAGCTGCACAGGGATTTCAGGGAGTCGACAAGCTGGGAATAAAACAACAAGCGCTTTGTAAACTCTGGAGGGTCTGAGCTTGGGGTCTACAGAGAGGCCGAGGTTGGTTGCTAAGCCCACCCTGAGCCCCTCTTCACTCAGAACTAGCGTGCTTCGTATGATCTCCACGTCACCAGAGTCAGTCTCGTTTGGAGAAAGATTCTCATTGAAAAGCAAGAACATACATACCTTCACTCTACAAAGATTTGGCAATACACAGAATTAAAAAAAAAAAAAATCATAGTTACAACAGATTCAGGTTCATTTCATTTAAAGGAAATTCAACCAACAGGAGTGTAAAAGTTATAATTCACAGTTGTGCATTTAAGATATTAGTGTTGAAAACCTCACTTCAAAGAACTCTTGTGCAAAATTGTATTGACAGTAGAAACCATGGCTAGATGCCCTCCCAGCCTCCCCTGGCCAACAGGCCATCGTCCACCCCTCTGCCTGCACCCGGAGGCAGATGGATGAGGGGAACAAAGGCGGCAGTAGGAGCTGACATAGGAAGATGCAGTATCCTTTCTACGAGTCAAAGCCTTGCCGAGGTCTGAGGTCAAGTCCAACGATTCCCAAAGCCACCAGCTGGTGTCCCGCGGCGCGGCGACGACCGGCACCCCTGCCACACGTCCTTATGGCACTGACGGCACGGCATCTGGCATCTGGGCCCACCTGAGTGCAGGCGAGCAGCCAGCGAGGCAGAGAAAGCAGACCTGCTCTGGCAGGACACTCGCTGCAAGGGCAGACTCAGACGCCGTGGCATCTCCACTGCAGTTGGGAGAGCCAAGCCCCGGCGCCGGCAAACGCTGTCCAGAGGCTCAGAAGTGGTCCTGAGCTGGGCACTGGGCTCCTCTGCTTGTGATGGTTCCCACCACGAGGGCTGGGAACCCCTTGCATTTGTTAAACAGTAAAACTGTAAATACCCTGAGAACAGGGAGACTGGATTTTTTCCCCTCCGGGGAGAGGACCATGCTTTGTTCTTCAAGCTAATTAGTAGTAGCAGCTCCTAACCCCTCTGGGTCAGGTACATATTTTCCATATGAAACACATCTATAATCAACTATTTTTATGGAAATTATTTCACTTTCCATTATTGGATCTGTACAAGTGATGAAAAACAGTCATGCAAAAAATCGCCTGCAAATTTTGGAACAGTGCAGCATGGGCAGAAGCAGGAGGTATTTGCTTTGGGATCACATGGCTTTGGTTGGAAAAATTGGCTTTTTTTTTTTTTTGCCTTTTTTTTTTTTTTTTTTTTTAAAAGGGAAACAGACACAAACAAATCCATAACCTGCCATAAGAAGCAGAAGTCAGATCCAGCAAGCAACCTCGTCCCAGAGAGAGAGCTGCCTTGACTTGAGCCTCCCCTCCTTCGGCAGGTTTGACAAAACGGATACTGCATCTCAAGTTCACCACCGTGTCAAACACTTCCGACAAACTTTTACATTCAGCAACGCTAGATAAAAACTGGCAAGGTGAGTCCCTCGCCAAGGACAAATGCTGTAACATCTCAACATTTTGCTTTGCGAGAAAGGTGCAATATTGGCAGCTCTCCGGGAGCAAGCAGGGCTTAAGTCAGCCTGTGCCAATGCAGAGCCGTGTGCTCTCAGTGGTGGCGGGCTGGTGCACATCAGAGCGAGGATGGAGACTAAGGAAACGCTTTTAGATGGGACTCAAAGAAAGTTCATAAAAAGCTAAATATAAGAGTAAGGTTTTGGGGGCCCCGTTTCCTCCTCCCTGGGTGTACAAGTTAGATACTGTGCAATTTCTATGCCCCCTTGTGGGGACTTCGTCCTCATGGGTGGCTCCAAGGAAAAAGTGCACCTTTCCCATCGGGGAGGACAGCAAAAATTCGGGCTGCTTTCTGAAGCCGAAAGAGAGAGGAGGAGATACACGCAGACCCAATCAGCTCTGACACCACACACTCCAATTTTCTGCAGGGAGATCCTGCAGCAAAATATTGCACCTTTCCAGCCACCATTTGCAAAGACAGACCGCGGGAACTTGCGGCAAGTGCCTTCCCCAGCCAGCGAGCAGGAGAGACAGGGCAGGCATGCAGGCACAGAGAGCTCTGGCAGTTGCATGTGGGGCTGGGAGCTTCTCTGAGGGTCAGATGAGATTATCTGGGTGTAAAGAAAGGAAGGGAAATGCTACATAGCCAGGGGCCATGGAAGGACCTTGAAACAGAGAGAACCGCAATGCCTGATTTATTAATCACTCAAGATACTGAGGGCAACGTTCACATTTTGTTTGAGACAGCACTGGAAAAAGAGAGGATCAGGGAGGGGGGACACACACGACTTTTTTCATTTGAGGACTTAAGACTCCATCTGTGGGAGTGGGGAATGCGTGATGCACAACTGCCGCTGTGTGCCTCTTGCTTGCACCCAGTCTGCATTCAGGTTTTTGAGGTTTCTGCTGCCCCACACAGGGTGCCCTGCACTAGTGGCAGCTGGGTGGGAGGCTCTCTGCTCAGCTACCATGGTAATCCCTAAAATGGCTGTTAAACGGGGCAAGAGAGAAGGAAACGCACTAAATCCACTCAAAGGAAGGAATGTGGCTGGGAACAGCATGGAAATGAACCTCTCCAAATCCCTGAAGTGCAATACACTCGCGTCCGGAAAGTTTTGTCAGTTCTTGGAGAGGAGAGGATGGTCCCGGCTCCTCAGCGGAGTCCATCCTTGCACTGGCAGAGGTTTACTGTCACCTGGAGGACGTACTTTGGGTGTAATTGTAGCAGCATCTTTTGTGTTAATACTAGAGATTGAAGGGGGGGACGGGGACTGATGTTCTCTGTTATTTAGCAAAGACTGCACATCTGCTCTGGCCAAGCTAATGGTGCGCAGACCACTACAGCACGTTAGTGCTTAAGAGCTTGTCATTTTGGGGTGCGCACATTACTTCACCATGCCATTGTGAAGAACATCAATGAAAAATCACCCAGTTACTTCACTAGGGAAAATTACACCTGGCTTTCATTTCACGAGACTGCAGTTGTGCTAATTAACTCCTTCCCCCCCAGTATCATCTTCAACATACACAAAGTTTTTGGAGGTTACAAAACTGTAAGTGTAACAATGCTTTTGCCTGTTTTACAAAGAAACCTTCTGAAATTTGAGAGATCATTAAATATGAAAGTAACCACTCCTTCCCTGAAACTAACTGGAAGAATGTAATAATACTCATCCCTTGGCCCTCCAGGTGGCTGAAACCAGAGGTTCCTTGAAGCTTGCTCATCTTAGGACACAAATAACATACAAGTACCAGTTACTAACTTCTTCAACAGGGCAACAAAAAGGACCAGAGAGGGGTGAAAAGAGGCCTAAGGACATTGGAGCCAAATTCACAAAACCACGACAGAGCCCATTTGAGGTTAGGAAGGGACAGAAACAATTTAAAACTCTGCAAAATACTTTTTAAAAACATGATCTCTCTTGAAAAAATAACTGGAGGAGTTTTAAAACTTCTCCATATGTGTTTGAGGAGGAAAAACCCAACAAGGATCAAAAATACAGATAAAAAATAAACATGATTCTACTTTGCAAGAAGTATTTTCATCGTTCTCAAGGGTGGCTCACCATTCCCAAAGTATGCTTGGGGCTTTAGTCTCTCTTGCTCTTTGCTCCTTTCTTCCTGTTTCTTCCTCTTCTGCTCCCAGAACGGACGCAAAAGTCTTTGGTCTCAGAACACTGGATGCAGCACAGTGTTGCAAGCACATATTAACGGTGTTCACACTCAGGGAGGAGGCAGGAAGGAGCAAGGGCTGGTCCTGCTGAGGAGATGGGATGGGTGGGTTGTGGGGAGTCAGCTCCTAGATGGCTCCTTCACTGTGCATACTGTGGTTGGGCTTGTTGTGAGTCACACAGTTCTGTTCGTTCAGCAGGTTTGCTGTCTCGTCCGGCAAACCGTCATGCAGCTCCGTAAGAGTCAGTTCGATTTTAGTGTTTTCACTGTCCGAGGACTGAGGTGTTTTGTCCATCCGGGATGCCATCAGGGCATTTTGGTACTGCTGTCTTGAGATCTGCTCCAAGAACAGAAGGAAGGAACAAAAACAGCCAGTCACACTTTTGCGTCTCCCATGGGACACACTGAGAAAATAAAGTGCCCTCCCTTTCCAGATGATCACACTTCAACCCCTGTTTACCTGTTTCTATAAAACATCCCTGCGCTTTGCAAGTTTAGAGCATCTCAACTCAACACCACAGCATGGTGACATTTCCAGACAGAGTGGAAGTACAGAGCTGTGCGATCACCATGCTGTTCAAAGGCAGGGATTTATCCCTATGCAGAGATTTTAAAATCAGATCTCCACTTCCTTCTAACCATGCACATTTTTAAGGCCAGAACCAGAGTTCAGTGAAGTCTTTCTCCCAACTTCAGTGAGCTCCTGGTGAGGCTCTAAGAGTCCCTATAGAGCCAGAGGGTACAAGCATTACTGCTCTTGTCTAGGCCAGCAAATGCAGCAGGAGCTACAGCCTTATTCTGATACATATGGACATTCGATTCTAGAAAAGACTGGGATGTCCATAGAGATGAGTCCAAATTAGCAACCCATGAAGTCTTCCACTGGTCTCTGCAAGAGCTGGCTGCACTCAGCAGAACAGTCATGATGGGAGCTGGCCTAGAGCACAGAGTATCACTGCCCACAATGCCCCAGAGGCAAGGAAGCCTACAGCCCCATATATCTGCATATGGTGGTAGAGGGGAGAATTCTTCCTGGAGCCACAAGCAACCAGCCCATGAACTCCTCTGGGTCAGCCTTCTCAGCCAGGACAGGCAGCAGGATGCACGTGCACTGGCAGCCCCGTGTGCTACAACAGCAGTGGGTTATCTCAGCAGGCAGGAAGGTGGAAGAGGTGAAACAAGACTTTTAGAAAACCGTAAGTCTCAGTAGCAACCCAAGAGAGGGACTGGAAATGGAGAGAGTCAGATGGACAAGGCCACAACTCCAAAAGCAAAATCCAAACATGCACGAGCAGGTCACAACCCTGGTTTACAAGGTATTAATTGAACAAATGCCCACGTGGTACAGTGAAAACACTAATGTTGAGTACTCTGTCCTATGTGTAAAGCAGAGTGATGCAAAAAGGGGTGTGCAAGTCTTATTGCAGAGACACCAGACAGTTTAGCATTCATTAGCCTCAGTATGAACACAGTGAGAGCTGGAAGGACTCCACATAAATCAGCATAAGATGAGCAGCTGCTCTTTACAGCAGATTAGCCATCCAAATCTGTAGTGAGAATCACTTGCCCAGTGATAAACATTTACTGATCTAAACCTTGAAGACTTGAACCATCAGCCAGTACACTTGCATCTGTCAAGTTTTGAATGCAAGACTGTACTCTCCTTTCAAAATTTGGCTAAGGAATAATTGATTTAAAACATTTCAGTATTTCTACTCTATTCCACATTCTTAATATTGAATTAACTTTGACAGAAGTTGAGTTCACAAATTGTTTGAGTTGTATACAAAGAAACTGTGAACGTGCACTTAATTTAAGAAAAGCATGAGGGTCAACTTCTGGCCATGGGACGTCAGCTTCTCTGGACTCCCAGCTGGGCTGAAATTGCTGCCAGCATTAGCTGTTCCTCAGCTCAGCTAGATCTCCTATCCCACAGGACTCGCACACATTTCAGCGTGGGATGCACCATGCTGGGGGACAGAGCTGTATTCATGCAGCAACTCACTGGTAGTATGAGACATGAGCCTAACATGTGAAGTTAAGATAAAGAGAAATGTCCAAGACTTCTCCAAGCAGAAGAAGGATGACAAGTCGGAAAGTAAGATCAAGAACCCCAAACTGAAACCAAAATCAAAAGTGAATAAAAACGGCAACCAACAGAAAATATCTCATCCTTTAGAAAAGGACACTGTCGGATAATGAAGGGTCTCCATTTCAGATGGCTCCAAAGGCTTCACAAGGATATGTCTTTCATGACTAAAAGCAGAGAGAGGTTATTTTCTATAATCTTTCCTCAAGGGACCTGAAATTCAGAAACTTATGTGACCAATCTACTTACAAGCCTAAATGAGAGGAACAGTGAAGACAAATCAATGGATAGCAGATATTGGGAAAAAGTAATTTAAAGTGATTTTTAAACGGCTGCTTTCATAATCCTATTTACTCACAGAGCAATCTAGAGGGACCTCCCTTCCCCAGGCTGTCCATCCTACCAGCCAAGCCCAGCTTTCCAGCAGGGCCTTTCCAGCTTTTTTCCTACCTTGACAAACTGAATGTCTGTGAGTGCTTTCACTGAGTAGTCCGGAACATACACTTGGAGGAAAGATGCATTCAGCTGGTTGTTGCTGCTTCCTAACGTCGGTGTCACTGCATCAATGCGATCACTTCGGCTTAAAGAGTCTGAGTGATTCAAGCCGCAGGGCCGAGGTGGAGACTTGTTTTCGGCTGAGAAACAGGCAAGAGTGAGAGATTTCTTAAATCAAGTAGAAAACATTTAAAGTCACCAGTTTCAAAGGGACATAATAAATCATGATGTAGCACAAAAGAACTGCAAATACTTAATCCACTCATAACTAGACATGCAGCTAAACAACCAAATTACCCTGAAAAAGAGTACATTTTGAGTCCAGAGCTGGTAGCTGACATCACTGAGTATGCCTTAAACAAACCTGGTTTTGTTTGTGTTGCAGTGGACATGCCCTGTGCACAGTTGGTCACAGTGCTTGAGCTGATGAGTGGCAGACACCAGAGAAAGGTAACTTCTCAAGGCTCCCTTACAGGAGCTCTTGATAGTCAGACCATGCTTAACAGATTTCTTTTTTTTTGTCTTAATGATTTATAATCGTAACTCCATATCAGACCTTTCATCCACAGTCAGTCCCAGCTAACCATTTCCCCCTTTTATTCCACCTGGTACCTACATATGCCTTGTTCCCTGAGTTAGAGCAGACATCTTCAAAATCATAAGAGGGATAGAGTCCTCAGTGGACCAGAGTGCAGTCTATGTGATGATGACTTCAACATTTCCTTTAGTACCTCCCAGTGCTTGAGGGGGCAAAAACTCAATGAAGGAGAGCAAGCTCCATGTCATACATGCCAGCCAGCAAAACAGGGAAAACAGTCCATGCTACAGACAAAAAGCTGTGTCCAGGAAAGGAGTATACTAGAGACATCATTTTCCATCACTGGCATTTAAGCACTGCAGGGTTTCATTCGAAAACCTCATAGCTGTCACCTGCAAATGTGACCATCCACAGTTTATCTCAAGTAAACGTGCTTTCAGGAAGCCACAGGCATTTTGCATCTCTAGCTTCCACCCACACAGCGATCTAGAAGACAGGAGGGCAGAAATGCATCCTAAGAGACATCCCAAGCCCTCCTGCAGACAGGCTTCTCCCAGGGTGCACACACAGTACATACTGATCAAAGGACTGACTCTGGGACTGGTATATTTTTGGATCTTAGTGCAGTTAAATTTCTTTCAGCCAGCCCAAACTGAAACTTGATGTAAACTTTGTTACTCACAACGTGACCCCCACTCCCAGCTGAAAGATCATTTTCATATAATCTTAAGATACAAAGCCTCTTTGAGCAAATCAGGAACAGTATCCTCGCAAGCTTTTCAAATTCTTTTTTGAAGACTTTTCTGTATATAAACTTATTTCTAAAAAAAAAAAAAAGCTCCCTAAAATTCAACACCACCTCTGCCACTTAATCACTATAAATATAATCTCTCCTTGCTCAAATGACACAGCCTGTTGTTCTACAGCTCTGCATCCAGCCTTTCCTAAACCTAACACTTTAGGTGCTTCTAGATACACAGCAGAATTGCCCTGGTTTTTATTTCCCACTTAAAATCCCTCTGATGTTGTCTTTCCTCCAATTTTAGAAAAGGGAACAGAAAAACACAGGTTCTGACAACCTGGCGATTTTTCTGCCATTTCTGCAACTACGGAATTAGCACAGGTCCCTATGGCAACACCAAATACAGGCTTACGAAGAAGCACTCGGAGCCCTGCAATGTTTTCCTCCATATCAACTTGCCATCTTGAAAGCCACACCGGGCTGCAATAACTGCTGCCAGGAGCCAAACTGCTATCTGCGCACAGGGCTTGATGCTGTAATTCCCACTGGAGAACAAGGAACTGTGAAGACTGAGTGAATTTGTCCTCTTTCCCACCTGCATACACAAAATATGCCGGTGTGTGACAACAGCATCACTGCTGCTCGGGATAAAGGCTTCCATCTGGAACAGCTTTACACTGGTGTGACTTGTATCTGCCCTTTCTTTTCACCAGGGGTCTTATCGTACATTACTAATAGAAACCAAAGAAGGACAGAGAGCAACACAACAAAGCATATATTAAAAAACAAATGAACAAACAAACAAAAGGGACAGGTGAAATGAAAGGACAGAACAAAAAAGTATGATTACTAAAAATCTGAGGGAAAGGACATCACTTCTGGACCACAAACAAGTCAGGGAGGGAGAAGAGAAGTTAATGAGGAAGGAAGGATACAGAAAGGGCACCCGACAGAAGAATACCAGGCAGGTCCATGTTTGCAGAACAGCGCCCTGCCAGCCCTCTAGCAGGCCAGCCCAGATCTGGACAGATCTTTTCTACCCAGGTTTTCCCATACTCCTCACCTTCCTATACAGGGGATAAAGAGCACAAACCACAAGACAAACATCAGTACAACTGTATTATGAATTTGGGGTTAAACAACAGGATTCTCTTCAGAAGAACCCAGGAGAAGGTCCGAGTTTCATCAAAACTGGTACCACACTGTCATAGTGACCAGGCTTACCGTATTAGTTCCTTTCAAAGGAGATTCTTCCCATTATTATTTTCCATTATTGATTTTTTTTCTTTGTAGTTGGGGAAAAAAAGCTACGAAAATGTGCTTGGCTTTTATATTGGAAACAACGTGCATGTGCAAAGTGTACATTTATTTGTAGCAAGGAAAAGGAAAAAAAAAAAAAAAAGAAAAAGACGACCTGGCAAAACAAAAGAACCGAGGTAAAAAAGACAATCAAAGCCACTGAGCTTAAAAGAAAGCCATCAGGTACTTTAATTAAAGAAAGATTAAATTTCTCCACCTTCTTTGAAGTTTAGCAGCAGGAAACTTTAACAGGGAAGGAAAAAAAATCCCCTGCAGGGCAACAACCTGTAGTTTGTTTGGAATGTGCATGAGACTAATTTAAGGACCGATGGTGAAACACATTTTCAAAAGTGAAAAAAAGAAGAGGGAGAAAACACAGAAAGCAGATGGTGAAAGTTTATGAAACACATGATATGTATTAATGTTTAGGAGATGTTTCACTTAAATATGCATATCATTATCTTGTTTGCTTTTAGGTCCACAGAAAGACATTTCATCGGAAAAAGAAAACTTCAAAAGGAAGAAATATGTTCGCTGTGGCCCAAACTATTTTAGGATTCTGTTCTTCCTACAGACTTTCTTGATGGGTTTCCATTTTTATCAACTACTCTGTGCATGCAGTGTCTGCAAAGCTCAGTTCTTGAACCTTCCCAATTTCCAACCATTCAACCACATCTCAGAGCTCTTTTTGGCCCAATTTATTACCTCCTTGGTCTCTGCTGTCCAAAGGGATTTCTGTGTCAGTCAACCAGTTATTCATCAAGGAAAGGTCTTAAGCAAAATGGGAACCAGAAAACCGCACAGGAGGTCCCACAACCTTATTGCACATTCCATTGCAAATCTGACCACTCAGTACATCACCGTGCCGGTCCACAGCATTAACCTCACTGAAAGAAAGCTCAAAGCTTTTGAGGAATTGAAATGGCCAGGCTGTATACAAACCATAGAATTTACCCATATGAGAATATAAGAATTCTTTCATTAAAGATGTTTTCCTTTTATGGCAGTTTAGCAGCAGACATTCTCCTCTGCCAAATACATTTTCTTCAGAAATTTTTAAGCCTCAGCCTGGGGGAGAATACCTTCTTTTAAAAAATCTCCCCTCCTAATGTTCCACCAGCATAGACATGAGAAACAAGAACAAGCACACATTACCAAATACATTTTCTTCAACATGTTTTTAGTTCTTCCCATTTTGATGACCCTGTCATGTTGCTACCAGTTATCATAAACAAAAGTTCAGGATACCTACCTGTGAGGCATAACTCTGTGCTGGACTTCTCCCTAACGAGCAAAGGGGTCAGATAAATACAGACTGCAGCTGACTTTTTATGGCATCAGGGCAGTCACAAGAATGGTGAAAATAGAAGCATGCGGATTTACCTGGAGAACCTGCTGCTAACAACTCTGTTCTGCTGACAACAAAGGTACGAGACAGGGACAAGGGAACTAGAAGAGGGAGAGAAAAAGGATGAGATCACGACCAGAAAGGCGGCAGCTATCCACACTCGACAGGGGAAGGAGCCAGTTCACACACTGAAGAACTAAAACCAAAAGTGCAAATCAACTGTGAAAAAGTAAAAAGTTAAAACAAAAGCAAAACCAAAAAAGACAATTAAACAATTTTAGGAATAAACCAAAAAACAAGCCTACGGAATTACAGTGAAGTGAACAATTTTCACTTGCTAATTTGAATGGTTATCCAGCACAGAACAGTCCATCAAGGTACACTCAGTTTTAAAATAGTTCAAAAGGAGCAGTGCTGCCCACTCCAGCCTGGAAGGCAGAGTTAAAACAAGCCAGAAAGCTTTCACAGGTGCTGTTTCTCATGGGAGTCAGACAAAAATAGAAATGAAACCAAAAGACACTTCATAGTTCTTCAAGTTTTCAGTAAAATGTCAAGCGATGTTGTGATTCTCCAAGCTCATCCCTGTCAGGATGTGTACCATACTGCTCATTGTTACTGCAAATCCCTCCCCAGCTGTAGTTAAAGAAAAAAAGCTTCACTCTCTTATTGTGGGGGTTTTTTTGTTTGTTTGGGGGTTTTGGTTTGGTTTTGGAGGGGGGGCTGTTTTTTTGTGGTTTTTTAATGCTTTACTCTCCTGTTACTGACTTCACATTCCAGGCACGGAGAGCAGGCACATGAAGTCTAATTAGGGCACACAGAAGAGTAGGAGTTTTCTCTTGTTCTGCAATGACTTATACTTTCACTGAGCTTTCCTGTCTACACAGAGCAACAGGAATTTATTTTTATGAGCTCAACCTAACAGAATCTCAAGATGCTGCAAGACATCACAAAACAAATTCTCTAAAACCTGGAGGGAAAGCCAGCAAAATGAGGGGTTTGCTACTGGTAAAAGCCAACCAGTCGAAGGTAAACAAATCCAAGGTTGGCCAAGATTAATTTAAAATAGTGTATGTCCTTAACTTTGACATGACAAAATCCAGGATGGATTTTGGGACATGTGAAGAGGAGATCATTTGACCTCACAGGACTTGGGGCAACTGGCATGGTTGTGGGGAAGGTTAGCAACACCAGAAAACAAAACAAAACAACCAAAAAAACCCACATGAAAACGTTCAAACTGAACAATGCTGGCAAAACAGAAATGCCACAAGTGATTTCCAAGCTTAGGTCTGGTAGGAGGAGTGATCATGACTAACCCAGCTCTGTACCTGGCCAATATTGCAAAAGCTGAGCTACAAAGCTGAGGTATGATGCAGTTGTACACACATGTGCGCCATGATTCCTTGTGAACACTGCTGCTATTGCTCAGATAAAATCCACTCAGTGCTCTGCACACTTTCAAATCTGTCAAGGCTCAAACAGTATAAGCTAGACTGATCAAAGTGCACATAATTAAGGAAGAATTAATCTTGCCTGTAAAAGTGAGCTCACACATCCAAGAGAACTGCTGTTGTCTGTACAGTTTAATAAGGCTATACTCATAACTTACAAAATCATTTTCATTCCAACACCATTCGTTGATGTACATACACATAGGTACCCACATGTAAAGGGAGTGCTCATTTGTGTACAATTAAAACAAGCTGCCTCTCAAGTGGAACATAAACCCTGCTGCGGCAGGAGGACCCGATTTCAGCGTGAGAGATGTCTCTCCCTGAAGCTGAGCAAGCGGCTTTGGGTCAGCAGATGGCCAACACCAGCACCAGCACCCCAGCTCTCCCCAACGGGGCTGTGGATTCCCAGTTGAGGTCGAGATCTTAGTGGTGACACTGCTGGCACCAAAATACATCACCAAATGCTGAAATACGGCACGGAAGCCTACTCTTGGTGGATCATAAAACAATCCCCCAACCTGCACCTGTGAGGTGGTGGCTTGTGCAGCTACCCCTTGTGTGCCAGGAATTGGCTCCCACCTCGCCCTCTGGCACCAGCTCTCCCCCCTTGCCGATTTCTTTGTTCCATTTCCACACAAGCTGACAGGAGCAATCGCTTTTCTTGCACTGCTGCCCTCCTTTTCCTCAAGACGGCTTTAGAAACAAGACTGGTAAAGGGAACCATACCGGAGCTCAGCGGGCACTTGTACTTTGCACCACTAGATGTCCCTCCGCCGCTAATTATTTATTCCCGTTAATCCAATCCCTGTTACCCTACCCCGAGCAAAACTACAAAGCTGTCCTCCAGTACCAAACACATCACTCGCGAAGGCCAACACTCGCATCCTCTGGGAGCTGGCAAACCGCTGCCAGCCGCCGGGTTTCGGAGTCAGCGCCAGCGTCGCCACCGGCCTGGCCCCCTCTCAGGGACACTGTGCCAGGCAGCCAGTTTCGCTTGCAAGGACGTACGGTTTACATCAGCCCCGCGGACGCGGCGGGGGGATGCCCTGCGCAGCCTCCTCCTGCCGCACTCGCAGGATGAGCAAGCTTGCGCAGGAGCGCATTCCAGAAGTGGAACGTAAGAGGACGTACCTGGTGATGCTGTGAGGGCCATCACCCCATAGTAGGAAAAAGCACCAGCTTCAAACTTCATCCCCTCTTTCCCAGCCTCCACTTCCACTTTCCCCTGTTAAGGAAAAGGAGAGAGAGCTGCAATTAAAAGGGACCGTAGGTCTTGAGGCACAAGAAAGCTAGTTTTGCCTGACATACCTAAGCAGTGTCTTGGTCCCTGCAGTTTGTAACGGCGCCTGAGCAGGGACAGATCCTGGAGGGCAACGTGCTCTGTACCCTGAGCTACCCTGGTCTTTGGTGACCTATGGCCAGCCTAAGTCCCTGCAGAGGAGTGGGATCACCACAGCGCTTTGGGTGGTACTACTGCCCTGCTCCAAGTGTTGCCAGGCCATTTTCCCTCAATGCAGAGTGAAAAAATACTCCCCCGGTTTCACAATAAGCTTATATGTAGCACAGTCATCTGGTGTCTTGAGACACCCAGTCATTTTGGGCCACAGCTCACACTCACACAGAGTCCCCTCTAACACAAACATAGGAAAGGGAGATGGGAGACAACATATAAGGAGGCTGCCTGCCTTCATCGATGAGGTTCCCACAGAAACAAAGCCCTTATTCCTGCAGGAGTAGTCTTGGGGCTACTTTGGTTTTCTTGGTTTCTAGCAGGTTTACATATTCCAGCATCCTTAACTTAAGATCCTGCTCTTTCAAGAGGGTCTTGCCTAGAAGGACACTCAGTTCTTCCCAAGCTGCGCAAAACCACACTACCACGCAAGCGTACCCATTTCTGATGTGGGCTGAACCAAATGTTTAACGTCATGTCCTATGAGGGACTCCAGAACACAACCCACCATATCAAACATAGCTGTAAACATCCCAGTTACTTTGGTATACAAGTAGCCAAAAATAGTTGGCTTCTTAATGGGGCCTGGTTTTCACATCCATCCATCCTTACTGGTACTGCACTGAGAGTTACAAGCATACCACTGCAGAAAGAAGAAATCTCATGCAGCTTTCAGGCTCAACTACACAAAGGTTGGGATTTCAGGCAAACAACATAATTACCTGCAATGCTTTCCCTCTGGCTAGGCTGGCAAGGGCAGACAGACTGCCCGTCCCATGTGTACTAAGCAGACAGAACATCAACTGGACACAATCGAGTCAACATTAGTCCAAAAGGTAGATTTTATTTCTATGTGTTTATTTCATTAAGCACCATTTAAAATAAATAATCCTGCCTTTAACTATACAGTACTGTACTGGGGCAGAAAAACATGAAAATGAGCTCCACCTGCATGATTCCTGGTACCAAGTCAGTTTGTCTAACTGTCCCAGATGAGAAAAACCACAAAATCTACCTAGCAGGAAGAGAGTGCCTAGCTCACAAATCCACTTTCCTGCTATCACAAGCAACGACTTCATATAATCCCTTTTAAAACCAATTTCACTCCACAACACAAATAAGTAGCTTATTTGTTCATTATAAGCCTCCAAAAGGTAAGATTTCATCACCCAGGCAAAGACTGGTTATAAACAGAGCTCTCAACCTACTTACTGCTGGTAGTTATTCACCAGCCAAGATCAGGTCTCCAAAATACATACGCAAGTGGGCTTTGATCTTCACATACAGTCAGTCTGGAGTTAGTAGCTAAATACAAACTAGTAATTAGTAGTAGAGTTGAGTTTCAGTTCCAAGAATCAGCACATGCAGCACCTCCAAGCTTCCTCGTGGTGGACATATGAAGACCAGGCATGCTTGGCATAGCCCCAAGCGGCTGAAAAGCTGGTAAGAATTCCCCATGCATGCTATTAGATGTGTTCTGCCCTGTTTAAATACATGCATATGTGGTTCCTGGTTTTCCACTGTTTAATGTTCTAACAGGAATTCTGAAAAAACAGTGACAAAAATCTCAAACTGCTACAGAAGAACTTTCCATTAGCTAAGAGAAAAACTGTTGCCAACAGGTGACATTCCAGCTAAAACAGTAACTCTACAGAGATTAAGTTGGTAAATTTAATGCACAGAATATACATTTAATTGTGTTCTGGCATGTGTTTACTGTGAAGGTACTCTTGGTCTCTCAACACACGAGAGTAAGTCCAAGTCCATTTCAGTAACAAAAGCAGAGTATTTATACCCTCTTGATCCTTGTAGAACCAACCTTGTTACCATTTTTACAGTATGTACCTACTGCAAGACTCGCATTTCCAAATGCATTATAGAGCTAGCACATTGTGTTTGCTAAATATTTATTGATTGCAGAATAGCTCAGAAAGAACTGATTGTTCTTTTCTGTTGCCCATGTCCTCCATTTATGTCTTTGCAGCATTACCTCATTCAGGAGCATTATCTTGCCTCTGGAATATTTCAGATTGCAACTGTTCAGCATATAAAGAGCCGTTAAAGAGCTACCAGTGGCTCCTCAAACCCTTGAAAAAACTGATCCTTTTAAAAAAAGAGAATTACATTGAATCCACAATATCATATTCCAGTACTTTCTTAATTGTTTATCACTGACAGTGTTTAAACCTCCCTCTCTTTTTTTTTTTTTTTTAAGGCCATGTTAAGGAAGTTTTCAAGCCCTGTGTTACAACTTTAGCTACAATTCTTGTGTTTTTATAACCAAAACTGATTTCAGTTATGCAGGATAGAAACATAAGCACCTTTCCAGCAAAATCTCTCTTAAAGGACTGTTCCTGCTCAAACAGTGCTAGATGGAAGCTAAGTTTCTGTGTAAAGCTTTACCGAGCCATTCAAGCATTCCTGTTAAGTAACAAAACATGGGAGATACCAGCACTGGAAGCAATCCTGTACAGAACAAGCAGAAAACAGTCCTTCCACACCACCTAGGGCTCCAATCTAAAACCCACCCAAATGCAGTGATTTCAGGGTATGGCGAGCACTCAGATGGCAGGGTGCCCAGGAACCGCAGGGGCTGTGGCAGGAGGTGGCAGCAGTTCAGTAGATGGCATGATGCCCCCACTGAAACCTGTGCTTCCCACACCATCACAGGTACAGGCTTCCAAATTGCACAGAAAAATGTCATTTCTCTAAACCATCGAACTCCCCATGCCTCCTTTTGCAAAAGGAAAAAACACATTAGAGAAAGCATCCTGGCCAAACTCCTATGAAATGCCATTTTTTGCACCCCTATTTTCCGAGCAATGCCAGCTGTACACAGGGATTCCTTTGCATTGCCTATCCTAGTGATACCTAAAGCATAAGTAACTTTCAACAGATGACTGGAAGTGGGAAGTGCTGTCTTCCCTTCACAACTGGTTTAACTGAGGCTGAAAGCAGCTGAGTGAGCTCTTCAAGGTTGGCAAGCTCATAAAGGAGGCCAGAGCAGTTCCCAGGAGCTATAGCTCCATTCCCATCTTTGAAAGAAGACAGACTCCAACAACTGGAAGAGGTATCAAGAGGGGTATGTCAGGAGATTAAGGATTTTGCACATATCTACATAATCACATGTCTGACCTGTAAAATGAGAACAAAGTAGTCGACAGGCTTGTTTCGCTGGTAGAGGTAGTGTTCTGGGGCTTTCTTGTTCTTCTCGTCATATTTCAGCTCCTGGATGACGTTGGGATGTTTTAGCAGCCTGAGAAGGATCTTCTCTGACATCTGGGATGGACCAAATGCTTCTACTTCTATAACACAAGATACAACTTGGCATTACACTTCAGCTTGGCAAGAAGTTAGCAAAACTCATTAATAAGCATTTGCCTATAAAAGACACACAGATGCAGAGAGATCCATTATGGAATTGCAGGCTTCCTGTCTTTTGAGACTGTTAGATTTGTAAGGGGGGGAAAAAACCAGGAACACCCCAATTTTCATTACTGAAGTATTTTTCAAAACAACCAAAAACCATGTCTTCATCTGAAAGGGAAAAGAAAAAGGCAGTCTTGCCCTCTTGAGAGTTCAGAGTCACAGTTGTATAGGCTCATTGGAGAGTTGTATAAATGGAAGAGCTTTACAATTGGGGCACAGAGAACCTCTGAATTTGTTTTTTCCTTCCTCAAAAGGTATTAAAGTTACTGCATTTATTGCACTCTTTCAAAAAAAAAAAAAGACTGTTGGGGGCCTAGAAAGTTGCTCTAGATAGATGCTTGACATAAATCAAAGACACAATTGGGGCTGCCACAGTTCATATGGGAAGAGTTACTCAAAGTGAGAGACAGCGCAGGTCAGTTTAAACCATGTGGGATTAATGCCTGACACACAGAACACATCCCCTATCCACTTGCTCTTCAGTGTTCTCAACAGGAGCTGTTTGAAGCAGAAAAGCTCATCCTCATGTGAGAGAGTTAAGCCAGGGATGCCAAGATTTACACATGCAAATTGATAAGCCTTCCTAACACCTCATTTCAGAACAGGACCGTTAATGACCCAGTGCCTTTCATCTGCTAAAGATACTATTCTCAATTTAGAACAGAGAAACCAAAACTGTAGCTTTCATCTTATTTAGCAGTGGCTTCACAGACAGACCTGGATTTAAGCTACACAATCCTTTCATCCACCAAACAAGCAGAGAGGCAGCACTGTAAGTCTATGTCTGTTGAGCAGGTGTTTAGGGAACTCCATCAAGTCTTGTACCACTACATGAATAACGCCTTGCTTGCTGTTAAATCCACATCTTCCTGTTGAACTGCTTCCATTCACCAAGGACATGCTCACGTGCACATGAGCTGTAGGAGTCCAAGCCTTCTAAGGAATTACTGCCCCTCAGCTGAGATGTGATAACCGATCACGTACATGTTTCTTTCAAGTCACAGAGGCAAAATAAAGCATGAAGGCAGACTAGGAGCATCTAGGCAGGCAGTTACTGCATCTTAGAGGAGGGGAAGTACTAATTTCCAACTGAAGCTGGCAAACTTGAGACAAAACAACTTTATGATTTTCAACCCATGAATATATGTTGAACATAGCAGTGAAAAATGCCCATCTGAAAGGCCTGCATCTGAGAAGTCTTTATATGTCAAAGAGAGACAGCACGAGCAATAGGAAGGTATGTTTTCCACAAGCTCTCCTGTTAACAGGTCTCATCTCTGAGGTGAAGGGACCAACTTTACGATGAAACGCATTATCAGCTGCAAGAAACCATTCAAGGCCCTGGCCTCTCTGCCAGACTGCCCACCCAAGGGCTAAAACATCAAGGTGTTCTGGGATGGAGACAACTGTCCTCTGAAACCTGAAGTCATCAACGGAGGTCACACAAGCCAGCCAGAAATCCATTTTAAAAAGTACAGTTCAACCGCCTGTGCAGTCTGCATTAAATGTGTCGGGAGAGTTTTCACTTGGAGTCAAAAAGCCTCATGGAACAGGTTTAGACCCTCCTGCAAAAAGTCCAGCATCTCTTTCTGGAGAAGGCGACAGAGTGCAATTACAGTCAGCTGGCCAGTGGTATCGAGTCCTCTTTGGTTTGTTCCCTGAGCTCTTCCTAATGGGGTGTACTTGCTAGTCGTTAATCTGACGGACTCTAGACATGCAGTGCGGCACTTGGCGTTCATCCTTACCTTTCAGACCAATTTAAAGTTACTGGTCCACCCCTGGTAAATGTCTCAGAGGGTTCATGCCGACACTGAACACAGGAGAGGAGAGAATTTAAAAAGAAAAACACAACAGTGGCATTATTTGTCACCCCACAATCCAGCCTCCCTTCCCGCCTGCACTGTCCCACCCACCTCACCAGCCTTTGCTGACAAACTGCCTCTGAGGCTCTGGCATGATTGCAAAAAAAGATAACCCGCACTTGCCTGTTGCCAGGAACCGGTGCATTGCCAGGAGGAGCTGCGGTGATATTTTAACCTTCATCTCGCTGTCTGTCTGCTTGAAGGCAGAGAAGTCCTGCTTCCTGTCCCGATGAGCTACTTTCTTTTTCGTCTTGTTATCAGCTGGGGAAGGGAGGGTGGGAAAAGAAAGGAAGGAAGCGATTTCTGTTAGAACGGGGTCCAACATGAACCATCCTGGATGGCGTCATCCAGGATGGCCACCCAGAGCACAGGGTGCAGACAGAGCCCTCTGCAGCACATGCAAAGCCCTGCTCATCGGCACCCAGCACAAACCAGAAACAACCAGCGAGCTCTGCTGTGGGTTCATCTGGCCATGAGCCCCTCTCCTGCAGAGCCAGGCACCCATGGCCTCTGTCACTTCTCTGACACTTCAATGGGCGGAAAGTCTCTACTTTCAAACATCTAATTGCAGAAATCTAATTTTTTCATATATATTCCTTAGAAAATTCCCAGCAAGTACGTAGACTAAATACACAATGACTTATCATGATGTACCATGGCTTTACTGACTCTTCAGAGCTTTGGCAAAATCCGCGTGCCTTTGGTCCAAGTAACTCCCAAAGTCTAGCATACGCAGTTTCTTTCTTCCTGTCCAAACTTCAGCAAAGGCTAGCAAGGCGTACAGCCTGAAGGTGGGAATCTCTGGTGACTTTACAGGCACTGAAGCCAGAATGAAGTACAGAGCAGCTTCAGGAGTTCAGATAAGGGAATTCACCTGCTAGTGATCCCGGACTCCTGTCCTTTATTCAGTTAAATACTTCCCACTTGATTTGTCTGTGTCTTAAAACAGGTTCTGTGGTGGGGAATCCCCATTTGTGAAAGACAACATGAAAGATGGAGTTGAGAGGCACAAACAACCCAGCTATTATCATCTACCCACTGAGCTAATCTGCCAAAATGTCTAGAAAACCAGGTAAGCAGAGAGCTCTAGGCATGTTGGGGTACGGTATACATCTATTCTACGAAGAATAGGTCTCTGCTCAGATGGCAGGGTCTTGCTCTTCTCTCCTGACACAGTGCGTAAGGTGGCATTGGTTATAAGCAGCAGAATGCTGTCAGACAGCTCTGAGCTCCACCGTATATTGCAGGAAACCCAAGTCTTGATGCAATTACTGTGAGCCCCCCAGACTTGAGGCATGGCTCAGGTTCTAGGGCCTTAGTGAGGAAAGATATTGAAAATACTATAGCTACTTGTCTATCAGACCCCTAGTCATTGGTTTAAAATGACTGGACTTTTGAGAGACCACAGGCAGTTCTGGTACATTGATTCACTGCTGAGAATTCAGGCAAGCACACAAAGAGGTGTAGGTGACAAGCTAACACTGTGAAACCTCATGCATACTCCCAGGTAGTTGTTGCCAGATTTTGGGTTATGCATGCAAAGATGATTAAATTGATGTACCACAGCAAGGAAGCCACTGAGATCTGGAGTTCTGTATGCGTCCAAATACATGCTACGACTATGTAAGGCTCAGAGTGGTTGAGTTTGGGACTTGGAAATCCACAATACTGGTAATTAAGAGATTTCTAGAAAGACTTTCCCAAGTCATCTAGACTTTTAGATATGAATACATTTAGATGCTCAACCATAGACAAGCCTCCACTATAGGACGATCACAGACTCAACAGCAATACTGTACTGATAGTAACATATCTACTCTAAATATCTAATCTCATTCTGTCAGCAGTGCAAATCAGCAAATTTGAGATACTTGTTCCCAAGCACATGGAGAAGAACGATGATGACCCATGCCCCTTTTCTTCTTTGAAACCAGAAGACTCTTACCCTAGTAGTACTTTACCCAGGACCTGGACTGCATCAGGGACTGCAGTTTCTCTTCCAAAAGCAGGAATAGAAACCACCCAAGGGAGTGGTTATAGACTAAAAACAATCTCTGCCTTAGGAATATAGTCAGACAGACCTTATCTGCACTTGCAGTTAAAGGAAAGATGGATACCAAAGCAATAGAAAGTGAATAGGAGAAAAGTCCCCCAGAAGCTCTCACTAGGTCCTACCTCTTGTAAGAGGTAAGAAGAATAGAAACTGTGCTTTTTCTGAAAAGTGCAGAAAATGCTATTTTTCACCACGCTACGGCTAGGATGCTTTCTCACAAGGAGCTCTGTCATTGCTCTCTTCAGGGAGTAAAAAAATCACAAGTTTTGGCCCTGGGACAGGGAAACATCTCTTCAGTGGGGCAGTAAAGCATCTCTGTATTCCTCCTGTGAATGAGCTGTACCACCGCAGGCTTCATACAGCACTTCTGGTACCTAAAAACAGGGCCAGCATCACACCATGGGTGGATGCCTTAAATCTTTCTGTCTGCATCAGTCATCAAGGTAAGAGACCTAGGCTCTCAATCAAATGATGGGTGAGTTCATCTCCTTCTACTGTTTCCTTGGCAGCTTGTCCAGCAACCTTCCCCCAAGAAAAATGTTACACAGTGAGAGCAGAGCCATATGGCTTAACACCATTATCTTGGCTTATTTTTGTAAGGGACGGTCTTAATTGTTCTTCTCTATCCAAACAACTTCTGAGCTTCTTGTAAGACATAGGAACCAAGGATTGGATGGTGACAGAAGTAATTGAATCTGGACCAGGTATTTCCTGTCTGTCCTTCCTATAGTAAGTGAGATGGAGACCTGGGCACTGAAGTGATCTTGGCATGCTGAAGTGATTTCTGCTTACAGAGTGCTGTGACACTGTTTGGTTCTGCAACATGAACAATGTGATGCGTGAGGGACACTCTTAGGTATAGCTTTTGGTGAGATCTCAACAAATATTGCAAGTATCTTCAGTAGGTTCTGGGAATATTTAGACTTTTCCCTTAAATCAAAGGCAGCAAGGCTGACCGTGAGCTCCTGGGCTGAGGGAGAGAACTCAAGAAGAGGAGGGGTCCAAACACAAGTAAAGTTGTTATCTCTCTTGTAGTATTCCTGAACCTTCAGGCCTGACACAGAACACCACAAATGATTACATGAATTTCCTTGAAGGAGCCAGCTTGGACTGGAGCCAGCTACAGAACAGAGAGTTCAAACCTCATATAACCCGTTCAGTTGGGCGGTCGGGCAGGCAGGCAGCAGGCTGACAGGTGCTGCAAATGCACCCAGACAATGTTCTGGAAAGGTTCTTGTTCTCCTCCTGTGCTCCTTTTTGTCCTTTTGTCTTTAGGACAGAGTAGACATCTGCAGTGAGCTCCAGACAAGATAATGAGGACAAAAATATTTTATCAAATGGGAGTGTGGTTCTGTCTGACACACAAGAACTGTACAAGGACAGAGACAGGCCACTGCTCAACATGTGCATCTATCAGATACTCCAGGAAAAGAAAGTACATTTCCCAGAGGACTAGACTCACTGACCCTGTGCCCACACTCAGTACCAGGACGCCCAGTCCAAGAGTCAGAGGTGGATGCCAGTCTCACTCAGCACACACCCCATGTCCCCCTCTCCCTCATCCCCCAGTGATGCACACACCCAGGCTGACGGCCTATGTCCCACACACTGCACAGGTTTTTTTAAGCCTGTGGGTTTGTTTCATTTTAAAAGAAAGGTTTAGGAATTAACTAAGTTAGTTTTGCCAGTTCTTTTTGTCCCTAGCTAGGAAAACCAGGTTGCCCTATGTATCACGCATGTTTTGGCAACTGACAAAGTCAGCAGGACTAAACCTGAAGCTCTTTAACAGCCCAGAATAGCTTCCTGTAAGGATGCATCTCCTGCAGCCTACCGGTGCTAGACAGCAGAAAGTTAGCAAGTCCGTAGTCCTAATGGCCAACAAGGCAAAAGCATCATTTTCTAATGGACGGCAACCACCTTGCTATATCTAAAGATCAGATTCCAGCTACACAAAGCTCTGCTCTCCTGGCATAAGATATGGATGTACACCATGCCAGTACCTATAGGTCTTGCCCAACAACTTGGCATTGCAAAACCTTTTCTATGTTGCTACGCTTTCACTGGATGACAGTGGAGACACTTATTAGGCCAAACAACTTTTATTCCCATAGCTCCGTGCTTTAAATGGGAGAAGTGATACAGAGTTTACTAGGACATATATTTAACATACCTGTTTTGACAGCTGTTTGGAAGCAGGAATGTTCAAGTAAGATGTGGTCTTCCCCTCAGGGAAGTGACTTGTCAAGGCTAAAAAAAAATCATTAGGTGAAAGCTACTGCAGGTGCAGCAGTGCAGCTCTGTAACAAACGTAACGCTGAACGCCCCTGCAGCATGGGATTGCCAGGGGTCGTATTCACCGAGACAGACTGCTGAACAGCACGCAGGTGAGCACGTAAAAATGCAATGTAAGCTGATGCTTACAACCAGCATACTTATCCGCAACATGCAGAACACATGCACAAGGGTGCGTTAAGGTATTTCATTTGTAGAAAAATCCCAGATTTTACGTGCGGCAAAACCTCTCTGACTCTATGCGCGAAAAACAATAGCATTCCAGTTGCACTAAGATGATGATTAAACTCGTCTTCAGTTAGAAAGAGCTAAATAAGACAGGCCACCAGTCAAACACGGGTCAGAACAGTGAACTCCATGTTTCTCAAGCGCACTGCGGTCTGAGGCCAAGACAGAACATAAAGCTTTCTCTTTTGGCCCTTTGAGAATGTTGAGAAATACTCTCCCACCATAGCTAGGGCCATGGGAGTGCAGGACAGATTCCTATAGTGTGTCAACCATGAAAAAACGCTCCAACTTTCCAGTACTAAGAACTAAACACACTGACAGCTCTTCATTGTGACACTGGCTGAAATGTAGTTCAGATGCTACCTGTGTCACGACAGAAACCTCTTCTCCCCAGCCCATCAGCATCCCCAATACAAAGTCTCATGCTCAGTACTCAGTCTATCTAGATGTTGATAGGTCAGAGGTATTTACCAATTTTTCTTGCTCCCATCTTCTTCTCCTTGCTCCCAACATCTCTACAAGCCATAAGACATAGCAGACTACAGCAGTCTGAAGAAATTGGGCATGCAACCCTCGAGAAATTCAGCAGCAGAGCTTCAGCAGGGAGAGCAGCTTTCAGCAAAAACTGTAAATATACAATTGCTTCTACCCTAACACAGTTGAAATGGATTTTCATGGAAAGAGCAGAAGGGCACAGTTTCAACACCAAGGTCAGGCATGTCATCAAATTTCAGGTTTCCATCAAAGCAAAACAAAATATTTTTAAAACTTCAGAACAAAGGTGTAACAATGCTGCCAAAATTTTTCATAAGGTCTACTTTTAAGTAAACACCTAGCATAGAGCAAATCATTGCAAAGGTTTCAAGTTGGCTTGGGCTGAGCTGAGCATACCAGCTTGGTCTTATAACAAACAGCATCAGAGAACTCTAGTACTAGTTGGGGTTACTAGCACTGACACGCTGATTATCAACATCAAAAACGAGCTGCCTTAACGTATGGTGGACAATAAGGTACCTTCAGTAAACCCAAAGCATGTTCCCATCACTATACCAATTGGAAGTGGTTACAGCACATTAATCTGCCCAAATCCAGAACCTATCACATTTTCTGTGATCCTTGCAGCTTCTCTGGATTTCTGCTCTCTCCCTTACTGTTACAGTGTCCTTCAGTCCAAACAGTGGAACGAACTCCAGTGCTTCATAAAGAAGCTAGAAGTTCATCTTCATGGTACACAGCAGGAGTCACCCCCCCAAAATTTCCTGCATCCTCCAGGAAGCCTGGGAAGTGAAGTTTCCCTCCTGTTCTGAAACAGGAATTTTCAATAGTAAAACCTTCCCAGGAAGGAGAGTTTCAAATGAAGTCATGATCACCAGCTCTATTTTGTTGATCTAGGAAGTCTTCAGATAGTAAAATTAAATTCTCATTTCCTTGCCCTCTAACATGCTATTAATGGTCAAAGCTTTTTTTGTCCTGAAGAATAACACAGCATGTTCTATGTGGTTTCTCTTAACAAACAAGGGGAAAAAAAACATTGAAAAGCATATGCAATGTCTTTTCACTCGTAGAAACATAGAAATATCTCAAAGGTGATGAGACAAAGATAGGATCTTTTTGGAGTACAAAAGAAAGTCTGAATTCACCCTGTAAAAGCATTATGTTGTAACTGATTAGCCCAACAATTCATTTGTGAAGGTACAAAAAGAAATCTATACTAACAGGACTTCTGTGATTTGCATAGTAATTAGACTGTTTAGCATATCGTAAAACACAGCTGTGATTTACATGAGCCTTTGGGCACATAAATACTGGTAAAATACTGACCAGCTGCAGAAAGTAGTTCAGGCAATAGCATTCTATTGGGAAAAGTAGAGGTATGTCTATCCCACAGTGTAAAGTGCTCATATGGCATTTGGCTTGGAGGGAGGATAGAAGATGCTTGCACTGGCCTGAAAAAGATGTTGTAGAAATATTCAGATCCCTTTCATGAGGAAAGAAAAAGAAACCAAAGGACAGCTGAACAGTGTTAAATATATTTAAAATTATTATTTCTATTACAATAGAATCTACAGACATCCTTGTGCTACATGCGAACACACAGTAAAAAACAGAATCTGCCAGCAAGTGATCAAAGCACAGATAAGACAGATGAAGAATGACAGAAGGGAAGTCCTGTATGCACAGGCCAGATTGTGCAGATGGGAATAGAAGCAAAGACACTTTAGGTAACTGGCCAAAGACCAGACAAACTCTAAACTGGTAAAGGAAAGAGTCCAGATCTCTCAAGTGCCAGGCAATGGTTGACCTGCAGCATCATGTCCCTCAACATATGTTAACAGAAAGGAAGGAAGGAGCTGTACTGAGTGATAAAAAGAGGAGTCATTTAGGACATGCTGGTTTTCAGCACTGAAGAAGACTTTCCTTTCTCAGGTTTCCTGAATGAGTGACAGCGAGAGACTCTAAAGAGACTCCATTCCCCTTCCTTGAGGCATGGTATTTGCCTGCCTTCTTGCTAAAGTATGGTAGTACACAGACTACAGGCCCTTGAGGTGGAGAGAGGCTAGGGGAAAATGTGGGAGGTCATGAGCACTGTAACAAAAAGGTTTAACAAGTCCAGTGTGTTGGAGAACAGCTAGCAGGAGAGACCAGACAGTTGCAGATGTAAACCTTCTTGATGTAAGGGTCAAGTAAAGAAACCTGTCCTGTTTCCAAATTAATACAGCATAAAGGGGTGAGGTGCCCATGCTGCGAAAACAAAAATTACTTTGACCATCTGAGGGATCTGTAGGTCATCTGACCACTGAGATTTTAAATCAGCAACTTAACATCTCTCAAAACACTTCTATTAAATGCAACTGCTGCTGGATGGAGTCTTCCCTCTCATCTATAAACAAAGTGCAAACATTTCTACTCACTGTATAGATCTGTTTCATCCAGAATTTCAGACTTGATGATCTCTTCAATCACATCTTCTAAAGTGACAATTCCCAGGACTTCATAAAAAGGATCCCCTTCTCCTTCATTGTTTACTCTTTGTACTATAGCCAGGTGAGACTTGCCTGCAAGGAGACAGATCAGCAATTTAGACATTTTAGAAATTCCTGAAAGGTCAGAAATTATAGCAGAATTATAGCCACAGAGATATAAATAAAAAGACAAAAAGGTTGATGTCAGGCTTCATGAAAAAAGAGGCAAAGTTTAACAGATGCTTAAAATCATAATCTGATTTCTGTCTGTGAAATGCATTCCTGGGTCACATAAATTCACCTAATGCACTAAAGGAAAACAGCTAAAGAGATCAGTGTTTTCTTTCTGATGTCTTTCTCAGTGAAACCGTCACCCTGGCATTGAATTCATTATATTAGCTTGTTGATGGTTGTTCCACTTCTTGTCTCATGCATTGGCAGAGGAAGGCCAGGCTGGAGCCCTCCTTTGCAGCAAGCTCCTGTAGATGTTTTCCTCAAGTTTGGAAACAACAGCAACAATGGCCAAACCACAGAAGCATGTGGACAGGGTAGAGCTGGGGAGAACAGGTCAGCCCAATCCATGAGTTTCTCTTTTTCTCCTCCCTCCCTCAAAAACAGTTTATTTAGACACGCTCCATACAGAAGGGGGTGCTTATTTAGGAATGAATGAATGAATTAAAATATTCAAAGTGACAGTGTCTGATCAACAAAGAGAAAAGCTAGGATGAGATATACTAGTGGCTCTAAAGAACCCTAACCTGTGCATCATTCACAGTGTATTCTATAATTCCTGAAGTCCCTTCTGCCACAGGAATAATAATAATATCATGACCCTTCGAATCTGCTTTGATATCCTTGGTTGCCAGTTTCCCTAGCTGCCACTGAAAGCCAGTCCTTTGTAAAGCTGCATAAAAAGTAACATGCATTCAAAGGGTTCACCAAATACAAGTGGCATTTTGAAGTATAAATACAGCAGGTATCAATATGCTTTCTGAACTATCATAAGGTAAGCAACATTGTCTCACATTCTTCTTTGGTAGTCTCAAAAATAATACTTATCCCCATCTGTAGAAGATAACCAAAATAGTTCAACTTTGCTTAGACCCCTTTATAGGCAATAATGTCTGCATGTTTTAAGATTCAGATTATTAGACTAACAAGCATTCAAACAATTCCAACCCAGACTTACTCATGCTTAAAGAATGAAAATATCCCAAACAAATTAGACGAGGGAGGAAAACTTGTCAACTACTGATATAAACATTGCATCAGGTCAAGTCAATTCACTTTGGTAAGTTTTTCACATCTGCTTTCCCAGGGACCCAACATAAGCAGTTAAAAACAAATTCTTGGTGAATGCTGTCTGTCGAAAGTTAAATTCTTTTGCTATTCCCAGCTTGTGATCATTTAAAAGGAATTTTCCAAAGCAGGGTCTAATATTAGACTCAAAATGAAGTTTCCATTCCACTTAGGCGATATTCTCACCAAAGTAACTACTGCATAATCTGATTGTCTTGGAGCTACTCGTTTAGATGCAGATGGACATACTTTAAATACCAACTCCACAGCACTGCTGAGTCTTATCTTGAGGAGACCTTATTCTACAGTGAATTAATAGAAAGATGATTTGTGATTTTAAAGGATCAACATTCATATCGTACTGAAAGTCTTTCACTGTGCCAGGTTTTATTTCTTGCATTCCTTACAAGACTTCCAGCTCTTTTTACCACTCGATGAACAGTGTTAAAAAACGTGACTTCATAAAAACATGAAAGATTTAGGTACTATTATCATTGCTGTTGCCCTGTAATATATTATTCCAATTATATCCTTTCAATGTAACAATATTCAAGAACTGTGGCACAAAAAATGTCACATGGACAAACCAAATATTGTAATTTATTTCCCAGCGCCTGCTCAGATATTAGTATATCTGCTTTCAAGTCAAAAGGCATGACTCCTTCAAGAACCATTTCTATCACAGACCAGAGCAGCTCATTTGCACATGCTCATTCACATGCTAATTCCTGATGATCACCATTCTCATACATTACCAAGTGGTAAGAGTGCTTGGATCTGTACAAGTGGGTAAAAGAAAAAAAAACAAGAACAATGCTATCAACTCAGTGTTTCAGATTTGATCAGAATCACCAAATTACAGCCTTTTTCTTCACTTCCGTACTGCCTATGATAAAGCTGAACTAGGTGATAAAATTTTACATTTTGAAAAGCACAGTCTTTCTCTAACAGTGGAATCCCAGGCTCATCTACAAGCAATGGGAGAGATTTATGGAAATGGGACTGGGGAAGGACCTGAGGGGCTGTAATACCATGGGAAGTTGTGCACAACTTTCAGGCACAAAACCAGTTACATGCCCTTTTCATCGGGGTAGACCCCACCAAGAATTTAGGACCACTAAAGTATGTTACACTTTCCCCATTTCAGCAGCCACAGCACTCTGATCTGACCTAATGTGAGACAAGTGACCAAAATCTGTACCAGCTACTGCCCTCCTATCCAAAGTGAGCTGATACGGAATTGTTATGGATGGGTATCAGACATTTTGCACTTTCTACAATGAAAAAGAAGGCCAGAAACATTTTTTCTGGCTCTGCCATAATCTCTGATTTTTAGGTTTTTTATTTATCACCCGAAGTATCGAGACCATTGAAACTTGTCATAGTTTCCAATTTGGACTTTCTGGTGGGTAGCATTGATGTTCAGCTCTACTTTCATTAAAACTGTATGTTGCAGAGAGTTTATCTGTTGAAAATACATAAATTATCCAAATGCAGGCTGACACAAACCTTTCTTCCCTCTCGACTGTCAAGTTTTCCTATTCCTGACTTTCATGAACCCATCACTTTGCTGGGGTGAGATGAATTTAAGCCAATCTAATCGGGCTGCCTCTAAAAGGCTGCCTTTTGCTCCCAAAGTCTTCTCCTTCCTTTGCATTTGTTCCAATGCTCATGCAGTCACTTGATGAGACAGACTAGATCCAAAAATTACATTTCTTGGGTCTTTGCTAGTTAATTTTGATCCAGATCCAATAATTTGCCAGAAATCATCAGACAGTGGAACAAGCATTGGTGCCGGTGACAGAGGTGTCACGAAGATGCATTCCCGGACTGGCTGCCCTCTCAGACTGCTGCATAGATGACTGCAAAATACCCTCCACGTATGGAAGTAATCAAGGCAGAAAAGGCTAAAGAAAAAGCCAGAGGAGCGCCAAGACTTCTTTATACGTCGTAGAAGAGCACAACACAGCATGTGCCCAACTTTAAAAGTGGCCTGTGAGTAAAATAATGACTCCTCCAAGTGTTTTAAATAGAAATTGGCTACAGCTTTATTCAAAGACTTTTATCAGGCCACTGGTACTTGTCATACTGTTTTATTCAACTGAGAGAGGGTTTCAACTGTATTTTCCACCGCGAAGTACATACAATACGTATCCAACAAGGAGCTGAATAAAGTAAGCGTCCAGGTAAGGAAACCTGGACTGTCTATGGTATTCCTAGGGCTCTGAGAGCAAAAGAGAGCAAAGAGCGCAAGCGTGCATGGCAATTACATAAATAATTTCTATACTTCACTGATTTTCTGACCACGGTCTCTAACCACACTACATCTATGACATTAATCTTTCTTTAATCACTTGTTTTAAGTGTTGATACAATGAGATTTAGCAAGCAGGCAGCTATGCAGCACTGCCAGATCTGATAATAAAAGCAGAAATTACCTGAGTGATGTGTAACAGGCAGCACCAGCAGAGAACTGTGGGCACTGCTCTGATCCACAACTCCTCTGTGGCCATAGGCAGGCAGTGTTTGCTTTCTGCCTCAGCCTCCCCCATCTACAGTGACAGTCAGTAACATCAGCTAGAGCCTACAGAGCTTATACGTGTACACAGCTTGACACATAAATTGTGACAAATGCTAATCTCTCAAGTTACATTCACGGGCAACTAAAGGACCAAGGATTTTTCTTAAAAGCAAATCCAGTCCCATCCCATTGCTGAAAGTCTTGCCACTCAGCTTGCATTTTGCCCTGTACCGCAACTTCTGATTAATTTATTAAGCTTATTAAGAAACACGAAGATGCTTAGTGAAATCTGCATGAGTCAGTGAATGTAGAATGAGCTCCTGGGAGCCCATGTGATTGACTGACCACGCAGAACAGCACTGGAGGAAATGCCTGAAATACTGATTCTCTTACAGTACCTTGACCATTCCTTGAAAAAGATATGGAAAGAAAATTTTCACCCTTTGGACCTAACTGGGGCATTTATATGTTTAGAGCAAGGACCTCAAGAATATTGCCATGGAGTTCAAACTAGAGATGAAAACATCTGACCAAGTTCAACATCTGCTCTGGTCAATACAGGGGGTCTTGTCTACATGAAGAGTTTTGCCATATGAATGGAGCTGTGCCCACCCCACTCTCACATGCCACTTCCCCACAGATACACAGGCAGAAGAAATCGGCTGACAGGAACATTATGAAATTCAATAAATGCACATGAAAAGTCATGAACCTGGTACAAAATAACCCCCATGCATTACTACTGGGGACTGACTGGCTGGGTCTGCAGAAAAGGACTCCATGATCCTGGTGAACAAGCTACACAAGTCAGCAGTGTGTCCTTGCAGCAATGAAAGCTAGCTGCATACTGACTACATTAGTACATGTGCAGCTAGCAGGTCAGGGGAAGGGATTATTCCCCTCTATTTGGCACTTGTGAGACCACACCTGGAGTACTTGTGTCCGGTTTGGCATTCTCCAGTACAGGAAAGACACTGAAAAACTAAACCAATTCCAGTGGATGGATGCTAAAATGGTCTGGGGCTGGAGCCCACGATGCACAAGAAAAAGTAGAGGAAGCTGCATAGGTTCAGTCTTGTAACGAAAAGGCTAAAAGAGGGGTCTTAAAAGTCTTTAAGTACCTCATAGTAGGCTACAGAGAAGACAAAGCTAGATTCTTCTTGGAGCTAGATACTGATGGGACAAGAGGCAACGTACACAAGTTTCAAAAATCTCAACTCTCCTTAAGTAAGAAAAACTTGTTCCTCATGAGAGTGGTCGAACACTGAAACAG